GAAATAGCCAGAAAAAAAAAAAAAAAAGAGGACACAGGAACAAAAACGCTCTTATTTATGGTTGTGATGGCAAACAAGCCCGGGGGGGGAATGAGGGAGGGGGGGAAATGGTGTTACTTAAGACCTTTGTAAGATACTTATGGATTGGGGGGGACAGGGTTGTCCTCGTTTGGTTTTTTTTTTTAATAAAAGAATGCAAGACTATTATGTACAGGATGACTTTTGTAGAGAGTTTGATGAGTAAAACCTAAAAAAAGCCAAAACAACGCTAAATCTCAGGCAGCGCTGGCTCCATGGAGAGGGGGTTCCCTCCTGCTTGGTCCCCAACCTCTCCCAGCAGCAGGGGAGGAGGAAGAGGAGGAGGAGGAGGGACAGCAGCTTTCCCACCTCCCACCTGGGATAAAATCAGCTTTTTTTCTGTGTTGACCCCAACTTTGAAGCCCCCAAGGGAAGGACAGAGGGAGCAGGAAGGACTCAGGGCTGCAGGATCAACACCCTCCTCCTTCCCAGAGGAATAACCAGGTTCCAAGAGAGACACAAAAGGAGCATTTTGAGGGAAAGAGCTTATTTTCCACATTCTTTAGGTCTTTCTTGCCCTTTGAAAAGGCTCAGCTTCTTGTCCCTGAAGGAGCTCAAGAGAAGCACAAGGGCAGAGAGGACTTCCCCAGCCACGGCTACACCACACTGGCACCACTGGGCTCCCAGTGGCTTCCAACTGGAAAGGTGGTTCCTGGAACTGGTGGCTCTGGGGAGGGGAAGTGCCAAAAGCCCCGAAGTGCAAAGGGAAGGGGCAGCTGCAGCACCCGGCTCTGAGGGAGATGTGGTCAAAGACCCAGTTCCTCTCCAGCAGCAGGAGGAGAGTGGCTGAAGGGAAGGCTGAGTCCTCAGCGGGGCCAAAAACTGCAGCCAAGAGAAGAGAAAAAGCATTTTTTTCCTAATTTTTTTTTCCTGGCCTCGTGTACAAACACAAGCCCTGCTCAGAAGGGCTTCAGGCTGCAAAAGCCACACCAGGGGATGGACCAGGCTCTCTCTGCCGTAAGAGATGCTCCTCCTCAGAGAGAGAGAGAGAGAGATGAGTGCCCTGCAGAAAAGCCATAAAACCAAGAATTATTTCCTGCTGCTTCAAACAAGTGCTATTTCTGGGTGCAGGCAGCAGGGGGTGGCTGCGGGGAGCGAAGCAGCCTCTCCTGGTGCTGCAGCATCTTCTCCCCTGCCAAAAAAGCAGCCCCGGGGAGGAGCTGGGAAGCTTTATTTTCCTGTAGGAAAAGCTCTGCACCGCTCACCTTCCGTGATCCAAGGGGATCTGGGGAAGGAGGTGCTGCTCCTACAACTGAAGTGAATCAGAGCCAACAGAGCACAGGACTGGTTTCCAGAATTTGGCTTTACTTCGCAGTACAGAAATCATTTGGAGCCTTTTCAGGAGCCAGGAGAAGCGCAAGGCTCTGTCATACCGATACCGCAGCGCCCGTTTGGTCCATCCGAGAAGCCACCAGGGTACAGAAAAATTACTTCCACATCTTGCCTGCTCTGTAATTTTGTTCTCTCAATTTTATTAAGATTAAAACACAAAGGAGCCTTAGGCACAGCTGTGTCCCAACCGATGTAAACAAGTTTTTTTTTTGTTTGTTTTTTTTTTTTTTTTAGAAGCTTAAAGTGGAGGTTAAAGTTCTGTGCCCAGAACTAAGCCAACATTTGCTGCTGCTGCTACAATAGATGTGGGCTTTGTCCAAGAATACAACTTGCCACAGAGTTAAGATTGATGGGAAGAGACTTTTTTTTTTTTTTAAGGGATGCTGTCCACAATAATGGAGTGCTCAAGTTTCTATTTTCCCTGGCTACCAGGTTTGGGTGACAACCGTCACGGCTACTAGCTCACCAGAAGCACATTGAATGGTGAAGGATGTTTTTACAAATGATTAAAAAGACAAAAGGTAAGACACAGCTGTCAATGAGTTATTTCCAAAAATCTGCCACCAACGTCTACGTCTGCAAAATAATAATAATAAAAAAAAAAAATCAAGTTTCTATTTTCCCTGGCTACCAGGTTTGGGTGACAACCGTCACGGCTACTAGCTCACCAGAAGCACATTGAATGGTGAAGGATGTTTTTACAAATGATTAAAAAGACAAAAGGTAAGACACAGCTGTCAATGAGTTATTTCCAAAAATCTGCCACCAACGTCTACCATCTGAAAAAAAAAAAAAAAAAAAAAAAAAAACCACCAACAACGACCAAAAAAAAAAAAAAACCAAGAGAAAGAAAAAAGGTTCTGTCTTGCCTTTCTCTTACGAGGTTAGTCGTTAAATCAGTCAGTAATTTGCCAGATTCTGGACAGCAGCCCTACTAGAATGAAATAATTAACACATGATATCCAAAAGGGGAACATCATTACCAGTGCAGTACTCTTCAATCTCTCAGAGATGGGATTACAAAAGCAGGCCTTACAATATTGAATTTCATACAGTGTTCATTAAGTTCCTTATATATTCATATTAGCCGATTTTTTTTAATTTCTCCTAATTAAGAGATTCTCATTACTGCAGCTCCTCCTCCCCGTAGATATCGTTCTTCTTGCGTTTCATCTCCTCGAAGTCGAACTCTGATCCCATCATCCTCTTATAAATATCTTTGATGTCGTCGCACGTCGTCTCGAAGTGGGTGGTGGCGTCGTAGGTGCGAGAGATGAAGATCTGGAGGAAGAGGAGGAGGAGCCCTTCAGCCTTCGGCCTCTCTCCTCACCCCCCCACCCCCCCACCCCTCGGACACCCGAGCGCGGAACTCACCTGGCTTTCGGTTCCCAGGTCGGTCGGCGCAAACAGGTCACTGATGCTAACGAACCTGGAGAGGAGGGGGAAATAAAGAGTGGGTGGGGAGGTGGTTCTAGGGCATCAATATGGGGCAAAAAGGGCTGAATTACAGAATCACAGAATCTTAGTGGTTGGAAGGGGCCTCTGAGATCATCGAGTCCAACCACAAAAGGAAAAAAAAAACACCCAACCAAATACAAACCACACCACACCAAACGCCCACCAAAATCACCGCACCCACCAACTAAACCCCACACTCAACACCTCGCCACAAACCAATAACCTTGGGCACTAGAGCATGCCCTGAAGAGCCATGTCTACACGTTTCTTAAATCCCTCCAGGGATGGTGACTCCACCACCTCCCTGGGCAGGCTGTTCCAGTGCCTGACCACTCTCTCAGTAAAGTCATTCTTTCTAATATCTAATCTAAATCTCCCTTGGCCCAACTTCACCTCAATGTCCTTCCTGTAGTGAGGGGCCCAAAACTGAACACAGCCCTCGAGGTGAGGCCTCACCAGTGCCCAGTACAGAGGCACGATGACTTCCCTACTCCTGCTGGCCACGCTATTCTTGATACGAGCCAGGATGCCATTGGCCGTCTTGGCCACCTGGGCACACTGCTGGCTCATGTTAAGCCTGCTGTCCACCAACACCCCCAGGTCCTTTTCTTCCGGGCAGCTTTCCAGCCACTCTTCCCCAAGTCTGTAGCGTTGCCTGGGGTTGTTGTGACCAAAATGCAGGACCCGGCACTTGGCCTTGTTAAACCTCATCCCATTGTCCTTGGCCCATTGATCCAGTCTGTCCAGATCCCTCTGTAGAGCCTTCCGACCCTCAAGCAGATCAACACTCCCACCTAGTTTGGTGTCATCTGCAAATTTACTGAGGGTGCATTCGATCCCCTTGTCCAGATCATCAATAAAGATATTGAACAAGACTGGCCCCAGAACCGAGCCCTGAGGGACACCACTGGTGACCGGCCACCAACCAGATTAAGGACAAATTAAGCAAACGTGGAGGAAATGTGGAGTTTCACCACCTCTGTGTGGCCAAACGGCCTTCAGAGCCCCCCTCTGCCTCCCCTCAGGCCCGTGTGCTCGCAGCAGAGAAGGGGAGAAGGGGCTTGTTGTGGAGGCCTTACTTCTGCTCGATGGGCTCCAAGAGGTCCAAGGCCGGCTTGATTTCCTTCTCTGGGTCGGCGGTCTCCACGGTGGTGCTGGCGATGGCGATGTACTTCCCCTGCGCCGCCACGTTGTGCGCGGAGGAGATCATGCAGACGTAGATATCTGGGGAAGAGCAACACAACGACGGGTGACTACGTGCCAGGAGAGCCAATGACCCTTGGGCTGCCCCATCCCAAAAGCCTCCTCTGACTTGCACCCTCCTCCTGCTCCTCTGGCACTTGGTACCTCCTCAGCCCACGCTTGAAGGAGTTCCGTGCCTGCCCTGCAGTCCTACGTGCTCACAGTCCCCTGGATGATGGACCTGGACACGAGGAACCCTGCAGGATCTCCAAAATCCAGGCTCTCAAGGATGTGACAGCTCCCAAAAGGCAGCGGGGTCCCCAGCAGCCAGCCCACCCCTCTGGCTGAGGGTGAGGAAGCCTTTCCCCTCCTGCACAGAGCCTTCACCCCTCTTCCAGAGCATCCCCCAAGCTCCTCACCCGCTTCTCCCAGGGCAGGGGCACTTTTTGGCAGATTTCTCAGATATTTTTCCAACCACAACCACCCCCCCCCAGCTTCCCCCACTGCTGCCCTGAACCCAAGCACAGCCTGGCTGGGGCCTGAAGTATTTCTGGATGAGGACGTGGAATCTGCCACGGGAGGGACACCAAGTGCCTTTTTCTGCTTGATTCAAGGTCAAACCCTTCCCCTCCTCCTAGGGCTCCCCTCCCTCATCCAGAGTCCCTCCCCAGCTTTCCTGGAGCCCCTTGAGGGACTGGAAGGGGCTTCAAGGTCTCCCCGGAGCCTTCCCTTCTCCAGGCTGAACCCCCCAACTCTCTCAGCCCCCCCTCCCAGCAGAGGGGCTCCAGCCCTCCCAGCATCTCCGTGGCCTCCTCTGGCCCCATCCAACAGGTCCATGTCCTTCTGATGCTGGTGGCCCCAGAGCTGGAGGCAGCACTGGGTGGGGGGGTCTCCCCAGAGCAGAGCAGAGGGGCAGAATCCCCCCATGGCCCTGCTGGCCATGGGGCTGGGGATGCAGCCCAGGACATATCTCATCAGGCCATGGGAGCACATTTAACGACCACCCAGCCTCAACCCCAGAGCGAGGAGACCCACACACACACACACACACACCCCCCTCTCCCCACCCCCAGCAGCCCCCCAGGGGCTCCACCGCACCTGATTTTCGGTTGACCTGGTTCTGTGGAATGATGATCTGGCACGAGTTGGCATCGTTTGTGTTCTTGATGGGGTGGCTCAGGATGCAGATTACCCGAATCACTTGACCCACCTTCGTGACGCGGTCCGAGACGTAGCTGGGGTCGCAGATGAGCTGTTTGCAGCGAGCAACCTGCAAGAAATGGAGAAAAACCTTGGGTGACCACTGCATGGAGGGGCATACACAGCCAGAAGTGAGCAACCAGCTAATTTTGGGGAAAAAACAAGCAATTTGAGGTGGCTCTTGCTGCATCTGGTCTTATTTCACTGCCAGCAGCACGTTTCAGCTTGGGCTCAGTAGAAACCCTTTCACACCTTCCCCTCGTCATTGACCACACGGGTTAAGCTCTAAGGTACAAAATCCAGTCCTTCCAGTCTAGGACCACATCTTGCTGCTGTCACGGCTGAACCAAACAGGTAAGAATCGACCAGTTTGTGTTAAAATTCATTTTTTACACTAATAGTTTAATATTTGACCCATGGGAAGCCTCTGGCCTGCCTGCACTTGGACCCATCAGTCCATAGTGTGGATTATCACCTCCACTGTCGGCCAGGACACGTCATCCCTGACCCAGAAGGGACACGTTGCCCCACCAGCAAGCTCTGAAGTGTCCTGCAAAGCTCCTGCTCCAGCTGGGAGCACATTTGTAGCTTCCAAGCAGCTCTTCCAGGTGGAGAAGAAGCTGCAGAAAAGCCACGTGTGTCGGCTGCCCCGAGCAGCTAAAGCTGAATGTCAAGGGCAGAGCTGGTTCCACACCCAGGTCAGACACAAACAACGGCTCTTCGCCGCTTCACCCGGCCCGATTTATTCGGAAAACAACCTTGGCAGCCCATGGAAGGCTTCATTCCAGCTCCTGGAGGAGGATTAGTGTACTCCTCACCAGGAAAACATCATGTCTTAAGTGAGCTAGCACAGGGAAAAAAACCACCAGGCCAAGCAGTCTCAGCCCGAGGGCTCTGGTGAGGGTTTTTCTACTGAATTTGTTGGGATCGATGACCCACAGCCGCGATTCTGACCCACAGACCTGATGGAGAGGGTCCAGAGGAGGGCCACAAGGATGATCAGGGGGATGGAGCACCTCTGCTACGAGGACAGGCTGAGGGAGCTGGGGTTGTTCAGCCTGGAGAAGAGGAGGCTCCGGGGAGACCTAATAGCAGCCTTCCAGTACCTGAAGGGAGCCTACAGGAAGGCTGGGGAGAGCCTGTTTACAAAGGCCTGTAGTGACAGGACGAGGGGCAATGGCTTCAAGCTGGAGGGGAACAGATTTAGACTGGAGATGAGGAGAGGGTTCTTCACTGTGAGGGTGGTGGAGCACTGGAACAGGTTGCCCAGGGAGGTGGTGGAGGCCCCATCCCTGGAGATATTCAAGGTGAGGCTCGACGAGGCCCTGGGCAACCTGGTCTAGTTGGGGGTGTCCCTGCTGACTGTGGGGGGGTCGGACTGGATGACCTTTGGAGGTCCCTTCCGGCCTGGGCAGTTCTATGGTTCTATGGATGGAGGCCGGAGGTGGAACAGGGAGGAAGGGTTCCAGCCTGGGCAATTCTATGGTTCTATGGATTCTGTGAGGCTGGAGGTGGAACGGGGAGGAAGGAAAGAACCAGAAGGTACCGTACCTCCCCTTCAGACTTCACACCAACCACTTTGCCATTTTCTATCACGATCTCTTCGATGGGCTTGTTGAGCATGTAGGTGCCTCCGTATATAGCGCTTAGCCTGCAGGAGAAAAACCACTTCAGCACCTTCCACAGCTGTAAGTTTGGTTCCTAACAGCCCTTTCAGCCCCCTCGTTTCTGGTTCCACTCGGAAAAACCCCCACATTAGACTTTAAAGCTCTTCAAAATAACATCCAAGCAGTAGGTGCTGTTCTTTCTGCGAGGCATGAGGTGGTATTTGGAGGAAATTAAGAGGTGGGATTACACCCAGCTGGAAAGAATCAGCTTGGTAGAAGCCAGAGAGCCCTACAGCGCTGCAGGCTACACCCCAGGGGTAAATCTGACCTCTTGGATAGAGAACGTGCTGCAAACAGTACCTCTGAGCAACCCCCAAACCACCACCACTAACAGGAATCGTGGTAAACGAGCCCAAAAAGAAGAAATCTCACATGGAGGAATCGCTTCTTGATTAAGACAGTGAGAGAAACCTTAATGACCACAGGATTCGTGCAGGGCATCATCTTCTGGAAGCCTGGTGACCCAACTCTACGCATCTGATCCCCACCACCAGGAAGCACAGAGGGGTTGGGAAAACACTGGAGTCCATCCAAAGCCAAGTTCTTACCTGGCAAATCCCTGGGGCAGCTCTCCAAGGCCATAGAGGGGATAAAGGTAGGGGCTCTTCCCGTATCTAGCCAGCGACTCGCTGTACAGCTTAATCCTGTTGATTGTTTCTTGGCAGGGTTGATCTAGATAGCTGGGGAGGGCAGGGCCGTGATTCACAACAGTTCACAAACCAAGACTTAAGAGCAGAAAACACTCCAGGAGCAAAACATTTACTTCCCCTTCAGTTTCCTTCCCACCCTCCGGCTGCTCCTGGTGAGTATTTCCCTGGAAGTTCCCTTTTAGAAGCACTGGGGGTTTATTTAGGAAGGAGTTAGGAATCATGGAATGGTTAGAGTTGGAAAAGACCTTAAAGATCATCCAGTTCCAACCTCCCACCAGAGCAGGTTGCTCCAAGCCCCCTCCAACCTGCCCTTGAACCCCTCCAGGGATGGGGCAGCCACAGCTTCTCTGGGCAACCTGGGCCAGGCTCTCACCACCCTAAGAGGGAAAAATTTCTTCCTGAGATCTCATCTCAATCTCCCCTCTTCCAGTTTAAAACCCTTCCCCATCATCCTATGGCTCCCCTCCCTCATCCAGAGTCCCTCCCCATCTCTCCTGGAGCCCCTTGAGGGACTGGAAGGGCCTCCAAGGTCTCCGCGGAGACTTCTCTTCTCCAGGTTGCCCCCCCCCAACCCTCTCAGCCACCCCTCCCAGCAGAGGGGCTCCAGCCCTCCCAGCATCTCCATGGCCTCCTCTGGTCCCGCTCCAACAACCCCAAGCTTCATTAACCCCAGGAACCAGAGGGGCTCCAGCCCTCCCAGCATCTCCAAGGCCTCCTCTGGCTCCACTCCAACAACCCCAAGCTTCATTAACCTCAGGAACTCACAAAGTTGCAATATCCCATCAGCAGAGGACACAGGGTTTTTTAAGATTCATGGAGCACTTGGGGACACTGCGAGACGTCCCACTCTCAAAGCACAATAGATGCCCAGCCCCACAGCTAATTTGGGGGGAGCAACCAAACCCAGACTTACTCGTCAGTCCTGTAGAGCGCGAGGGCATGGCCCGTGAAGTCTATAACATCTTGCCCCAGGTCAAACTTCTTATACACGTCGCGCATGGTGGTCTTCTTGGGATCAACGCCTTCGTAAGTTCGGGGGTCGTTCTCATCAAAGTTGGCGACGTACACTAGGAATTTCCTGAACCGGCGTTTCTCAAACAAGCCCATTAAGCCTAAAAAAGAAGTTATTTTTTGTCAGAAACTCACACAGCTACTAAATGGCTTTTCCATTGGTAGAGTAACAGAAGCTGGTAAGAACCACCAAGCGTTTCAAACATCACTCACTAACGTGCAGCTTGGCCTTTAGGGTTCTCTGTTCAAGCAGGAGACACCAACATCTGCCATACCAGTCCACACCAGCAGCCATCCTGGTGTATTGGACTTCAAGAGGTGGAACAGCCAACTTTTTCCTCAAGGCATGGCCAGAGGCCGGGCTTCTACACTACCTCCAGCTGGGGGAAAGCCTGGAGAGTAGTTTCCACTCAACCCAGTCTAAAGCCCAACCTGAACTTCCATAAACTTTTGGGTATTTACCAGACTTTGCATCATCCAAGTGTGGTGACCAAAGCTCCATCAAAGCAAGAGGTGCCAGGGCTCTCCCACAGCCTCGCCGAGGAACCAGCAAGCGCTGCCAGGGTCAACGTTTCAAACAGGAGATTGGACAAGGCACCATTTATGTGTTTTAATTTTCTACAAATCGGAGAAATGAGACTGGACTCGCTGAAACACCAAGGCAGAGACAGCACCAAAGGTACCTCCTGCTTCTGCCAGCACGAGTCTCTCTTAAGAGACCATTTCAGAGTCAACAACACAGCCAAAATGGAAGGAACGACCCATTACTCCATAGCAAAGGGGAATATCTACCATAAGGAAGGCTCCAACATATAGATAAGATACATCCCCGGAGCCTCCTTTGCTGGAGTCACTTTATCAGAAGGGTTTTTCCCAGATGCTCCTCAACACACCCTGAATCTGAAGTTAACAGACCGCCGAGTCAACAACACAGCCAAAATTGAAGGAACAACCAATTACTTCACAGCAAACGGGAATATCTGCCATAAGGAAGGCTCCAACGTACAGATAAGATACATCCCAGGAGCCTCCTTTGCAGGAGTCACTTTATCAGAAGGGTTTTTCCCAGATGCTCCTCACACCCCCTGAATCTGAAGTTAACGGACCGCCCTCTGCCAGCTCCTAACGAATTTCACTACGCTATTATGCCCCATCAGTTGTTTCATCTGAGGTATGAAATTTAAGTAGACACCAATTAAAATTGAGCCAGGTGCCACGTGATGGAATTAGTGATTCCAGTTTTCCCCACTGACAAACTCGGCGTTTTTCACGCACACAATTCCACCCAAGGACCCAACATTAAATATTTATGGCAAAGGTGGGAGCAGAAGCCCCAAGTGTAACCTTTGGAGGAAGTAAAACTGCCAAATTCTCACCAGCCAAGCCACAGAACAGGCAGCTTGACCAGCTCCACCTGAAAGCTCCATGAAAACTGTAACTCAAGGTTCAGAAAGCCCAAGACTCACACTCGAATTGGTGTTTGAGGTCAAATGAACAGACCGCCCTCTGCCAGCTCCTAACGAATTTCACTACACTGTTATGCCCCATCAGTTGTTTTATCTGAGGAATGAAATTTAAGTAGACACCAATTAGGATTGAGCCAGGTGCCACGTGATGGCATTAGTGATTCCAATTTTCCTGCTGACAAACTCGGCGTTTTTCACGCACACAATTCCACCCAAGGACCCAACATTAAATATTTATGGCAAAGGTGGGAGCAGAAGCCCCAAGTGTAACCTTTGGAGGAAGTAAAACTGCCAAATTCTCACCAGCCAAGCCACAGAACAGGCAGCTTGACCAGCTCCACCTGAAAGCTCCATGAAAACTGTAACTCAAGGTTCAGAAAGCCCAAGACTCACACTCGAATTGGTGTTTGAGGTCAAATGAGATGGAGAAGAACCTTACACTAAGCACAGCTCGTTACTGAGATGGAGAATACACACAGCACCACGTGAGGAGGAGCATCAGGATTTCTTCTCTACACAGAATATCCCGAGAGGTGGGTGGCAGAGACCTGTCTGGCCTCAGGAGGTCACAAAACAAGGTGCAACTACTCACTGGATGCCAAGGCTTCTGCCTCAGTGGAAGGAACTTTGTAGATCTTTCCTCCCTTGTAGACGAAGCTCCCCTCGATCACCTTGAAGTCTAAGTAGCGAGTGACTTCTGTGTAGAGCAGCATCTTTACCAACTGACCTGCAAAAGAAGTTTGGCATGAGTCAACCAGCTGCTCTGCAGCCCAAAACCAAGAGGATGGTGCTTCTCACAAGACTGTTCTTCTGACGCAAATTCTCACCAGCCAAGCCACAGAACAGGCAGCTTGACCAGCTCCACCTGAAAGCTCCATGAAAACTGTAACTCAAGGTTCAGAAAGCCCAAGACTCACACTCGAATTGGTGTTTGAGGTCAAACAAGATGGAGAAGAACCTTACACTAAGCACAGTGAGAGATGGAGCCTACACACAGCACCACGTGAGGAGGAGCATCAGGATTTCTCTTCTACACAGAATATCCCGAGAGGTGGGTGGCAGAGACCTGTCTGGCCTCAGGAGGTCACAAAACAAGGTGCAACTACTCACTGGATGCCAAGGCTTCTGCCTCAGTGGAAGGAACTTTGTAGATCTTTCCTCCCTTGTAGACGAAGCTCCCCTCGATCACCTTGAAGTCTAAGTAGCGAGTGACTTCTGTGTAGAGCAGCATCTTTACCAACTGACCTGGAAAAGAAGTTTGGCACGAGTCAACCAGCTGCTCTGCAGCCCAAAACCAAGAGGATGGTGCTTCTCACAAGACTGTTCTTCTGACACAACAAATCCTTCAACGGCAGCACCACGTTCAACCCACACAGCTCTTACACCTCTGTCTAACAGACGGGGTGTGGCAGACGCTCACTGGTGCAATTATCAGGCAGTTTTAAAGCTTTCTACAGGCAATTAAGAGCTTCCTCCTCATTACTCCAGCTTCCAGCAGCCCTCGGAGTAAAAGCCACCCTGCAGCACGTTAATGCACCACAGAACATGGCTGTTTTTTGCTCCTTGTGGTTCATTCACGCTCAACGTGGCAAAAAAAGGTCACTTTTTGGGCAGCAGCAGCTCCTCATCCTTACTATTGACATCTAGCACAAGCAGCTAATGTCAACTATACACCCACTTCCCTGTCCCCCACCCACTGTCACATCCCCAGAGAAGACTGTTCTTCTGACACAACAAATCCTTCAACGGCAGCACCACGTTCAACCCACACAGCTCTTACACCTCTAACAGACGGGGTGTGGCAGATGCTCACCAGCAGTTTTAAAGCTTTCTACAGGCAATTAAGAGCTTCCTCCTCATTACTCCAGCTTCCAGCAGCCCTCGGAGTAAAAGCCACCCTGCAGCACGTTAATGCACCACAGAACATGGCTGTTTTTTGCTCCTTGTGGTTCATTCACGCTCAACGTGGCAAAAAAAGGTGACATTTTTGGGCAGCAGCAGCTCCTCATCCTCACTATTCACACCTAGCACAAGCAGCTAATGTCAACAATACGCCCACTTCCCTGTCCCCCACCCACTGTCACATCCCCAGAGGGACACCATCCCTTAGAAAGGCACCACAACGGGCAAGCTGAGACCTGAGGAACCAAATCTAGACAGGAATCAACTCTTCTGCTGCACTAACCTCGAGCAAGGCTGGCCCTACACAACACATCTGTCCCCTCCTGCTCCAGGGACAAGATATTCCAGTAGCAAAAGTGGTTGGTATTTGGCAAAACTAGTTGCCCCCTGAAGTTGTTTGCATCGATAACCAGTTCAGGGCTAGTGGATTTGGGCCAGAAGACCTGTCCCCCCCATTAGTCGATAACCAGTTCAGGGCTAGTGGATTTGGTCCAGAAGACCTGTCCCATTACGGGAACACAGGGATTAGAGAATGAGGATTTGTAGCCTCAATAAGGGATGAGAGAGTCTGCAACAAGCCATAAAAACAGGAACAAAGGGAATTAACAGTCACCATGGAATCAACGGGTTCTTCCTAAGCCACGGAAGAACAACAACCCACAAATTCATGGCATTAGCTCTGGCTAGAAATGCAAATGCTTTGAGAGAGGATGTTGGAAAATGGCCCTTCAGACCTTCCAGACGTGCCATTTCTGCATGCTCCAGGCTGGAGCCATCTTCTGAGTCCAAAAGGTCCACAGGCAGAACGAGCCGCGGAGCAGAAGCCGTGGTGCTTCTGGCACAAACGAGGGCAGATCAGCTCTAACGAGTTTTCTGCAGCTCTTTGATTAATAAGTGCACAAAGAGATGGCCCAAGGGGTGTTTATTCAGTTCCCAGCACTGGTCACTAACCCAATACAATATCAACAGCCTTTCCCTCGTCCAATAAGATAACCAGATTATTGGACGAGGGAAAGGCTGTCAATAGAGTATACCTGGATTTTCAAAAAGCATTTGACACTGTCCCCCATACAAATCTGCTGGAAAAACTGGCTTCACACGGCCTGGACGAGCATACGATCTGCTGGATCAAGCACTGGTTGACTGGAAGGTCCCAAAGAGTGGTGCTCAATGGATGTACGTCCAGCTGGTGGCCTGTCACAAGTGGTGTGCCTCAGGGCTCAGTGTTGGGACCATTTCTATTTAAAGTCTTTATTCACGATCTCGATAAGGACATAGGGTGTATCATCAGCAAGTTGGCAGATGACACCAAGTTAAGCAGGAGTGTTGACTCCCAGGAGGACTGCCTGGAGGAAAGAGACCTGGGGGTTCTGATTGGCAAGCAGCTGAATATGAGCCGGCAGTGTGCCCAGGTGGCCAAGAAAGCCAACGGCATTCTGGCTTGCTTAATATAAGCAGGTTCATAAACCAATCTGAACCCTGAAGCTTGAGAGAGACCAGATACCAGAAAGCACATTTTCAGCTGCAGAGCTGGCAGAAATCATACCTGGGATCCTGACCCAGGTATAGCATTGCACCGTGCTGCAAACAGGTTTGATTACTGGTTGGTGCTGGTCTCTTCTCGCAGGTAATTAGTTACAGAACAAGAGGGAATGGCTTCAAGCTCCAACAGGGTAGGTTTAGACTGAACATTAGGAAGGAATTTTTCACTGAAAGAGTGGTCGGGCATTGGAACAGGCTGCCCAGGGAGGGGGTGGAGTCACCATCCCTGGATGTGTTTAAGGGACGTTTAGATGGGGTACTGAGGGACATGGTGTAGGGGAGGACTTTGTAGAGCAGGGTAGATGGTTGGACTCGATGATCCCAAGGGTCTCTTCCAACCTGAATGATTGATTCTATGATTCTATGAACTTACAGATTCGGGAGCTCGGTATCGCTTACCGTTAGCCATAAGGAATTTTGGAATGAGGTCCACGTTCCAGTCTCTTCCTCGCCCCATAGATTCTGGTGGGGTTCCTGGGAGATTAAACCTTTTGTAGAGCTTGGGAGAGAATAACAAAAGTTATTATTAGCAGAGGAAACATCTCTGGGTGTAATTTCTCCCACGCATGTACACACTTTCCACCCCCACGTCCCTGAACATAAGCTCTTCACATCAAGCTTTTGGCCAGCGTTTTAGCTCAAATTTGACTTCCAGTAAAATTCTTACAGTAAGAATTGGGCAGCATTATTCTGTTCATCCAGGTTTTCCTTCTCCAAGGCTTAAAGCTTGGGAATTTATGACCTGCTGGACCAAACCACTGTTTAACGTACCTAAAGATAATCTGCTCAAAATACCAGCTTCAGGAGAAGGGTGAGCTCCTCCAGAAACTTGAATCAGATTCCCCAATATTTGAAAAGGCTGGATGGATGGGCCCAGGCCAATGGGATGAGGTTCAACAAGGCCAAGGGCCAGGTCCTGCACTTGGGTCACAGCAGCCCCGTGAACACTACAGGCTTGGGGAAAAGTGGCTGGAGCTGCCTGGTGGAAAAGGACCTGGGGCTGTTGGTCAACTGTTGGCTGAACATGAGCCAGCAGTGTGCCCAGATGGCCAAGAAGGCCACCAGCATCCTGGCCTATATCAGGAACAGCATGGTGAGTAGCACTCAGGAGGTGATTGTCCCCTTGTACTTGGCACTGGTGAGGCCCCACCTCAAGGGCTGTGTCCAGTTTGGGGCCCCTCACCACAAAAAAGACATTGAGGTGCTGGAGTGGGTCCAGAGAAGGGCAATGGAGCTGGTGAGGGGTCTGGAGAACTTCTGAGAGAGCTGGGGGTGTTCAGCCTGGAGAAAAGGAGGCTGAGGGGAGACCTTCTCGCTCTCTCCAACTCCCTGAAAGGAGGGGGTGGCCAGGGGGCAATTGGTCTCTTCTCCCAGGTCACAGGTGACAGGACAAGAGGAAATGGCCTCAAGTTGCACCAGGGGAGGTTCAGATTGGATATTAGGAAAATGTTCACACTGAAAGGGTTCTTAAGCCTTGGAATGGGCTGCCCAGGGCAGTGGTTGAGGCACCATCCCTGGAGGTTTTCAAAAGCTGGGTTGACATAGTCCTTAGTGACATGGTTTAGTGATGTTTTGGGGTTTTTTTTATCAGAGTTAGGGTGAGGGTTGGACAGGATGACCTTAAAGGTCCCTTCCAACCTAGACGATTCTAGGATTCTATGAATATTTATATTTCACCCCGTTAAGCAGCGATTTCCTGACATCCAATTGATTGGCCAAACTTAACAGCTTTAGGGCCTTTGCAATCGCAGGGCACGAGCAGGAACCAAAACGAGGTGGCATCTTTCCAGCTGGAAGTGCTCACAGACCAAGGACCAAGCGTTACTTCGAGGCACAAAGACCACGGAGCATTTCTTAAGCAAATATTCGCCGGCAAACACGGCAGGAACAATTTAGCCCAAGAGTTTTAAGATCTGTTGGGTGTTATTCCTCCAAATTATCGCTCGGATGCCACGTGCTTGAATCTCAGCTGGGAACTATAAAAAACAAGTGCTGTCTCCCAAGTATAAACACAGACACCAGATTCTCCCCCACTGTTATCTGCTCTGCCATTAAACATTCTTACTCAAAAGAAACCCTTAAGAGTAATTACTTTGAATCCACCCCTGGGTTAGCTGGAAATAAAGCTCCCTTTATGTGCCAGGGGTGGACACAAAAGGGGGATGTCACCCTCGGCCTCCGTACTTACATCCTCCAGGGGTGTAATGGATGCGCTTTCCCCTCCGTAGTAAGAGTTCCGATCCATGTGAAGGACTTTCTTTCCATTCACTGACATGATCCCGGAGAGGATGCATTCCTGGGGAGAGAGGAAAGGAAAGGAGGGACGTGTTAGTTGCATTTGAGCCTCCTTCCATTTTTCTTAGCAACGGTCTCCCAAAGAGCACGTTGAGGCAGGCGGCTGCACGCCTGGATCTGAAGGTACCCAACACAAAACACACCAGTTGCTTCACTCTGGAATTAAGACACACACACTGAAAGACTTCCACTTGAGAAAGACTTCTACTTGAGAAAGATTAACCCTTTACTAGGTTTTGCTGCCTGCTCTGGGCAAGCCAACCAAGATGTTTTAACTACACAACCACCACCTACCAGGGCTCCCCTGAGGAAGTTTCTGGGAAGTTCATGCCTTTGGGCTAGATCAGGAAAATTTCTACTCTGAAAGCACCAGCTATCATAGAATCATAGAATGGTTGGGGTTGGAAGGGACCTCAAAGATCATCGAGTTCCAACCCCCTGCCCTGGGCAGGGACACCTCCCACTAGAGCAGGTTGCTCAAGGCCACATCCAGCCTGGCCTTGAACCCCTCCAGGGATGGGGCAGCCACAACTTCCCTGGGCAACCTGTTCCAGTGTCTCACCACCCTCAGAGTAAAAAATTTCTTCCTGAGATCTAATCTGAATCTTTTTTCTTCCAATTTAAAACCGTTTCCCCTTGTCCTATCACTACACCTCCTGGCAAAGAGTCCCTCCCCAGCTCTTCTATAGGCACCCTTCAGGGATTGAAAGGCCGCTATAAGGTCTCCCCGGAGCCTTTTCTTCTCCAGGCTGAACAATCCCAGCTCCCTCAGCCTGTCTTCATAGGCCATCGATTGAAGGATGTCCACAGAGAGGCAGCGCTGTTATTTCTAGGTGACAACAGGACCTGGACTTCAATTAGTTTCCTCAAAAGCTCAATCGTTGATATTTGCCACGCAAGAGAGTCAACAGCTACTCTTAGAGGACGGAGGTAGCATAAAAAATAAATTAAGCCATTGGGACTTAAAAAAATGCTTGAATACTTGTGTGCTTAGGACTTCTTATCATGGAGGTTTTTATTGACCTTTCCTGCTCTGCCTCAACTCTCTCCAAAGGCAGAATTACATCTGCAGCTGAGCTCTCATTCACCATCAGCATTATCCAATTTGTAGGTCCTGGCCACATCTCACGTTATCTTTCATTCAGCCTGTAAAACCTCACGTCCACCTGCTGAGAGATGCCACCACTGAACATCTGCACGCCCAGGAGCGGAGGAGCCGTTCATTCAAGAGATCTGCATCTCCCTGAGGTCCTTCCTGTTCTCTCCATGTGTATCTCATGCCACGGAGAGCTGAGAACTCTCCTCATGTGTCACTTCCTCCCCCACAGCGATGTGTAGGAGGCTCATTTCAAGCTATGTTATGGCAACGCCGGCCAATACGGGCATGGTTTAACTCGGCCAAACCACAGCTAGAAGACAAAAAAAGGCTCCAACCCAATATTGTTTACGTGACCTTCAAATCCTAACTGCAGCAAATCCTTGGTGTAAAGGAAGCTTTGAAAACCATCTTCACCTTCACTGTCCAAAAACTAACCCCCACAGCAAAGGAGGGGGTTACTTTGTCATTAAATTTTGTTATATCACAGAATGATGCAGGGTTGGAAGGGACCTCTGGAGATCATCCAGTCCAACCCCCTGCCAAAGCAGGGTCACCCAGAGCAGGTCCCACAGGAACGTGTCCAGGCAGGGTTTGAATGTCTCCAGAGAAGGAGACTCCACCACCTCCCTGGGCAGCCTCTGCCAGGGCTCTGCCACCCTCACAAGAAAGAAGTTCCTCCTCATGTTTAGATGGAGCTTCCCTTGTTCAAGTTTGTGTCCATTTCCTCTTGTCCTGTCACTGGGCACCACTGAAAGAAAGACTGGCCCCTTCTTCTTGACACCCACCCTTGAAGTATTTATAGGCATTGATCAGATCCCCCCTCAGTCTTCTCTTCTCCAAACTAAAAAGATCCAAGTCCCTCAGCCTTTCCTCCTAAGAGAGATGCTCCAGGCCCCTCATCATCTTTGTAGCCTCTGCTGTACCCCCTCCAGCAGTTCCCTGTTCTTCTTGAACTGGGGAGCCCAGAACTGGACCCAGTGCTCCAGATGGGGCCTCACCAGGGCAAAGCAGAGGGGCATCTCAACACCTGTAGGTGCATGGATGGTTGGCAGGGATCGTTGGCGTTGGGACTCGCTGTTCTTGCATTTCCAGGTGGCAACAGGCAAATCTCATCTGCTGGGAGAGCAAAGGCAGTGGTAGCCAAGCTGTTAGCCACCAGGTTGCCAAGGTCCTGGGGAGAGCAAAGCCAGAGCTGCCTCCCTGGTGCATGACAAGAAGAGGCCACGCCGAGTTTGATCCGTGAATTTGCGGGCGATTTCAAGGCTTCATGGTCATCACGTGGATGGGGAACAGAATTAGCCACAGAACTCTCCACAAAACCTCTCTATGATCCATCCAGCACCATTACTATTCTCCACAGACTCCAGATCCCTCATCCCAAGATGCCTCCACTTTTTCCAGCCTGGCTGAAGCCCGCAGAGACCCTCACAGCAGACATTCCTGCACCAAACCCCATATTAAACCCTACTCGAGAGCCCTACAAGGCTGAGGAACTGCACAAGTGAAATCACAGGTGGCTTTTATGGTGTCAGTTAAAAAGTTAATGATTTACCACATACAACGTGGGACTATCACACCAAGTGCATCACCACTAGCTGGTGCGATCTCCTCAGTTAAACCGAATCCACGGAGCTCTACACGAGGGCTCTGGTTTGACTTTTTGCTCTACCCTGGTCTGGGGTTTTATTCCCCCACCTTGGAACATCTTCCAAAACCCTGGCTCACCAGCTCTGCCAGATGGTGGCACAGGGACTGCCAGCGTCCGCGCTGGAGCCGAGCCACGAGGAAGCCAACCAGGACTTCAAAACAAAATAATTATCGATTGGAGGGATGAAGTTACGGTAAAAATCTGCAGAAGCTGCATTTATTCCTCGGTTGTCAGCTGATTTCCTTCCTCTACTTAAAGAAAACTTCAAAGCATTTCTTGCTCTCTTTTCTCAGACCAGCTCACCCATCACTTTCCAGTGAGGTCGCCTGCCCGAACTGCCAGCATCCCCCTAGAGCCAATCTGGGTACCAGCAGAAGACGTAAAACATCTTAAGAACCTTTTCAATCTCATTTCATACCCATTAAACACCGATACGGGCATCGAGGTGGGAGTTTTATGGTAATATTTTATCCAAGGCTCATTTAACAGGTTCGTAATTATCAGCCAGGCTCCTGCAGAGCTGTTGAAATCCCGCGTAGGCCTTTCAGCGGCGCTTCCCTTCGCAGCCGACGAGGCAACAGCGCGCTCATAAAACACACCAAGAGGCACAATAGATTTATCCTCCCAGCTCAGCAATTCCTTTTGATGGTCAGGCTGGCTGGCCCCTGGCTACAGCCATCCACGGACGCGCTAGTCCGCGTCTAAGAACCAGCTTGCTATGTCATTCTGTCGGCCGGGTCAGGGAGCGAGGAAAACAAACAGCCTGTACTGATAAGGAGAGAGTTTAGACTGCAAATAAAGAGAAAAAAAAAAAGGGGAAGCGTCAAGAGTTCAAATCTGTAGCTTTCTGACCACGTTAAAAATATCGACCCCATGCAAACAGGAAAAAGTGAGCGGCTGCTGACAGCAAGAAGGGCAGCAAGATGCAGCAGGGGAAGCTCCAGGTTCTGGGAGGGGTTGAAGACAACCTTGGTGCAAAGGAGAGTCAGGCTGTGTGTGTGGCTGTGATCCACTAAAAAGCGAGCGGCTGCTGACAGTGAGAAGGGCAGCAAGATGCAGCAGGGGAAGCTCCAGGTTCTGGGAGGGGTTGAAGACAACCTTGGTGCAAAGGAGAGTCAGGCTGTGCCCGCTGTGATCCACCGCTCCAGCCGGTTCGGGTTACGCCGGGCTCCCAAGAGCTCACTTTGTGCCGTCGAACAAACGACAGAGCAAGTCTCAGAGCGATCGATGTCGTCTGCGGCACCCACTTCAAATGGCTGGAGAGCACAGAGCCAGAGCGTAACGCCCATCAGAAACGTAGAGACGGCATGTCCAGTCCAAATCCATGGATAAAAACACAAAAAAAATTAAGAATAAGGGGTAACTCGGAGGTACCGGCGTTTCCGTGCTTGCTCAAGACCATCAGCTCTTCCCTCGCTTGCAAGAACCGCTCAGGAATAGACCTTCTGCCCGCAGAGGCCTTCAGGAATGGAGGGAAGCAAGTCGCTTGACATGGATTTTCTCCAAGTAGGGCAGCAGTTCGGAAAGGCTCAGACAGACCGACGGAAACTCCAGCCAGCGTGGGTCCATCTAAGGGCGCCGAGGGGAGGATTCCACCCAAGACGTTCAACGAGATCCCTTCATCTTCAACAAGGGGGTTTCTGGCAACGGCGAGAGCCCTTTCTTAGAAAGATGGGGCTGAGCAAGAAGTTACACGTCGCAACGGGCTAATCCACCTCTAACACACACTGGCCGTGGCTACCGCGCCGGAATCCGGCAAGCAAAGACTCAAAAGCTTCCCTCTGCCAAACAAACTGCAGAAGCAATTACTCACCGCACTTGAGCAATCCCCTCAGCTCCCAGGGGATGATGCAAGGGCCAGTGACACTCCACTTGGTCCTCACAGTCACTCTGGTGTTATTTCATAGAACGGTTTGGGTTGGAAGGGACCTTGAGAATCATCTTGTTCCAACCCCCTGCCCTGGGCAGGGACACCTCCCACCAGCCCAGGTTGCTCCAAGCCTCCTCCAACCTGGCCTTGAACCCCTCCAGGGATGGGGCAGCCACAGCTTCTCTGGACAACCTGTTCCAGTGTCTCACCACCCTCACAACAAATCAGTTCTTCCCCACATCCCATCTAATGATTTAGGCTCTTTAAGCAGCGATGCCTGTGCCTATACGATTAACACCAGTCACTCTGGTGTTATTTCATAGAATGGTTTGGGTTGGAAGGGACTTTAAAGATCATCCAGTTCCAACCCCCTGCCCTGGGCAAGGACACCTCCCACCAGACCAGGTTGCTCCAAGC